GATAAAAATGGAAGTGCATGCTGAGCCTCTGGATTAAGCCACCATTCCTATAACAGTCGCAAGGCCCCATGTCACTCCTCTGATCTAGCACGTACTACTTTCCCCCTTGGTTATTCCATCCAGTCCTAATCGTCAAACTTGGCAGTACTGGCTTGACAGAGCCAATGCACTGGCCATTTCTCTCCTGACTGCAATGTTCTTAAGAACAAGGCTGTCTAGGGCTGGGGATGTAGCTCAGTGTTGCCACCACCTGCTTCCCCGCAAGTGCAAGGTCCTGAGTTCAGTCCTTGATACAAAAAACAAAACACACACACACACACACACACAAAAAAAAAAAAAAAAAAAAAAAAAAAAAAAAAAAAAACAAGGCTGTCTTCCTCCCTTCCTTTATATCTACTTCCATATTCCCTCCATGAAACCTACAGGACTCCACTGTCTAAAAATTGCAATTTACATCGCCAGCTCTCATTTCCCTCTATCCTGCTCTATTTCTTCAAAGAATTATTGTGTAAGTTACAAACAAGATATTTCATTTTCTTTGTGACTTAGTTATTCTTTCTCTCCACGCTAGATGAAATGAGGCAGGAAATTAGGGCCAGCTGGTTGGGCAAATGATGGAAATCCGGGACACAAACGCAGAAAAAGAGTCCCAAGCCCCACACCTGGGACTAATCAGACAACACTATTTTCAGTTCTTCTGGCACAAAATCAAGGATGGCAGGATGGCTTAGATCTGACTTCAACCTGAGGAGTAGGTAGGGGATACAAAAGATGATGGCCTTGTGGCCACGGTATGTTCTTTCAGTGGCCTGCTCTTACTCTGTAGGGCATATTTCTTTTTCTACCTTTAATAAATATAGGAATCAATCTAACAAAGGAATTAACAGACCTCTATATTGAGAACTACAACACTCTGAAAAAAGAGATCGAAGGAGATATAAGAAAATGGAAAGACATCCCTTGTTCCTGGGTAGGAAGAATCAAAACAGTGAAAATGGCCATACTTCCAAACTGCTATACAGATTCAATGCAATCCCGATTGAAATCCCAACAGTATATTTCACAGAACTAGAGAAAATCATCCAAAAATTCATTTGGAACCAGAAGAGACCTAGACTAGCAAAAGCAATGCTAGGCAACAGAGACATGGCAGGGGTATCACCATTCCCAACTTAAAACTGTACTACAAACCCACTGTGATAAAAACAGCACTGTACTGTCAAAGAAACAGACCTGAGGATCAGTGGAACAGATTAAAAGATGCAGACACAACTCCTGACATATTCAACTACGTCACCCTTGACAAAGGAGCCAACCATCCTTGCTGGAGGAAAGATAGGCTCTTTAGTAAATGGTGTTGGAAAAACTGGATTTCAACTTGTCAAAGATTAAAACTAGACCAGTATCTTTCACCATTCACTAAACTAAAATCCAAGTGGATTAAAGATATAAATATTGAAACAGAAACACTGAACTTCCTGGAAGATAAGTTAGGCAGAACTCTTGAAAACATCTGCATAGGAAAAGATTTTATGAACAAATTCTCAGTAGCACGGGAACTAGCAGAAAGAATCAACAATTGGGGGCTGGGGATTTAGCTCAGTGGTTCCACTGCCTGCCTCGCAAGTGCGAGGGCCCAAGTTCAATCCCTGATACAAAAGAAAAAAAAATTCAACATTTGGGATCTCATTTTTTTAAAGTTTCTGCACTGTCACAGAAATCACGAGCAGAGCTAAGAGACAACCCGCAATATGGGAAAAACATTTTATCAGCTATTCCTCAGACAAAGGACTACTATCTAGAATATATAAAGAACTTAAAAAAAAATCAGACCCCCAAATATAAAGACCCGATTCAAAAATGAACATCTGAAATGAACAGACATGTCTCCAAGAAGTAAAAGCAGCAAATAAACATATGAAAAAATGTTCAACATCACTGGTTATTCAAGAGATGAAGATGAAAACAACACTGATATGCCATTTCACCCCAGGAAGAATGGTTGCTATCAAGAAAACAACGAATAACAAATGCTGGTAGGGTTGTGGGGAAAAAGGAGCCCTTTTTCATTGTTGGTGGGAGTGCAGACTGGGACAACCACTATGGAAATCAATATGGAGACACCACAAACAACTAGGATCAGAGGTCCCATTTGACCCAGCTATTACCTTGCTGGGTATCTTCCCAAAAGAATTAAAAGAATCATACACAGTGATATATGCTCACCTATATTTATAGCAGCACAGTTTGTAATAGCTAAAATTTGGAAACAGCACAATTGCCCATCAACTGGAGACTGGATAAAGAAGATGTGGATTTTTTAATATAAAATGGAATACTACTCAGCCATAAAGAATAGGAAACTAGAGAGATTTATAGCTAAGTGGATGCACATTGAGACCAAACTCTTAAGTGAAATTAATGTCACACATGTGTAAATACTGAATTTCTCTGGTGTGAAAATGTAAAAGTGTAAATAAGGATCAAAACATGTATTTGATATTGTGTAATAGGAAGAAAAGGTGTAAAAGTGTAGAGGAAGTGGGAGGGGTAGGGGAAAGGTAAAAAAGGAAAAGAGAAAATGTGTAAAAAGGAAAAGAGAAAATATGTAAAAAGGAAAAGCACGGAAACAATGTCTTTGCAAATAGGCAAGGGTGGAGGTGGTGAGCGGAGGAATGGGGAAAAATAAGAACCAAGATAAGACTTATAAAGACACAAGATCCCGACAGCGAATGTAACTGTATTGTGCACCTAAAATGTACCCGGTAAACTTAATAAAGATTAAAAGATTGTAAAATTTTTTTGTTTGTTTTCTCCAATTCTTTGTTTAGGACAACAAACACCTGGAAAGAATCTCTAGGAGTCCACAGCACCCCAGAATCCCAATAACAGAAAGCCTTAGTAGGATTTCTGTTTATTTCTTCAGATATAAAATGTGACCTCCTAGCTGTGCTTGACACATAGTAGTTGAATGAACAGTTATGTAAGAGAGGAAGAAAGTAAAATGGAGCGGTGGGGGCAGCAAGGAAGGAAGGAATTGTACCTGGAAGAAAATTAAATAACATAAATCAAAATAAAGAAAAAATAAAGAATAGATTTGAACGTACCTCACTTCTAAGGAATCAGTGGAGGACGAAGACACAAGAGTATGAGCTGAACCAGTTTTCTGAGAGTGGGAGAAGGAATGGGATCCAGAGGACAGAGGGTGGGATTAAATCAGGGTGGAAAAGCCCAAGGCTACAAAGACCGGCTTCAGATCCCTGTGACAATCGCCTCAATTCTACAGCAAAGGTGCACAGGAGAAAACTTTACCGTGGAGTTTGTATTCCTATGCAAGAATTGGCTCACCGGATTTGAGCCTCCCTCTTGATGGCTAGGCCTGGAAATTTTCAACCAACAGTCTTCCCTGCAGCCACCCCCTCCCCAGTTGTCTGCTTTGACACGCAATGGACGGCCTGTGTAACTGCAGGGAATGAAAAACGACTAGGTCCTGATGCAGATAAGTTACAGGTTACTGGGAGGATCCCAGGAGAAGTGCTGCTCTTGTAGCCTGTTTTTCACAGGAGCAGATAAGGTCATCTGCTATAATTTAATTGTGCAGCTCATGGGGTGGTTTCAGCGGGGAGGAGAGCAGAGCTTGGATTTTATGGAAACTAGGAGAGTATTAGGAATTGCTCTGTTGTAATAGCTGTGAGAACTTACTGAGGGTACATAGGATTGTGTCCCGTTTAGGTTAATGGTATAAATTCATGGCTACTAGAACGCGCTCAGTTGTGCAACATGGCAAACCTTGGGCCAGGCGTGTAGTTTCACCTCAGGGCTGAATGCTTTTCTTTGATCAGGTAGGTCAATTAGAATGATGGGGTGGTCACTTGTGGCAGTAAAAGTATCCTGACTGACCAGATGGACAATGAAACTTAAACTAGGCAAGGAAAAGAGTGAAGAATGAGAACCAATAGGATACAAGTAAGGGTTCTACGGACACAGCAGGGCTAGATCCTGAATCACTATTCAGTCTACCCTGAGGGCCAGAATCTCTATTGTTAGCAAGGCTCCTAGTTGATTCTGATATAAAAGGGCCACGGATGCTTTTTTGAGAAATAGTGGATTCAAAATGGTAGTAAATTGCTGGATGTGGTGGCACACACCTGTAATCCCAGCACTTAGGAGGCTGAGGCAGGAGGATCTCTGGCAGTTCAAGGTCAGCCTGGGCTACAGAGCGAGTTCAAGGCCAGCCTGAACGACACAGTGAGACCCTGTCTCAAAAAAAAAAAGATAGTTTAAAGAAATGGTCTCTTCAGAGGACAAAAGGGAGAAAGAAGGAAAGAATGCACTTAAGCTGGAGCTCGAAGGCCATGTGGTTATAGCGCGAGACAATGACTTTATTACCTCCAAGATGACACAGCCCTGAATGATGAAAACCTTCAGGGTGTGCCCAAAGGAATGGGTGGCTGTAGCAGAGTAGAGGTGAACATCACCAGTGCCAAGGAGGTCACGGTCTAAGGTTGTTCCTGTGGACTTTGAAACCACCCAAATAATCATAGTACTTGGAATAGAGAGGCAAAAGTGAAAAGCAAAGTTCAAAGTCACTGACAAATGAAGGGAAGGGATCTACACAGCTAAAGTGAAAATATGGGACTGAGCGTTGTAACTGGTTTGGAGTTTGCACGGAGTGGAGGAAAAGTGAAACTGGCTAACATCAATGAGTGTTTACTGTTTGCCAGGCTTACCCATTTACAATTCAGAGACGGAATCAGAGAGATTAAGCTTCTCACAGTTCTTATCCACTATGCTATGTAGACTTACATAAAATAACAGAAGGGTTTCATTTCCCCCCGTGGAGCTGGGCATTGAATCCACGGATTCAAGCACATTCAACACTGAACTACATTGATGTCTTAGGGGAAGCTGTTTTAATGCATTTCAACTGAAAAAAAATATCAAATTCCCTGAAGATTGTTAGCAGTGAGGTTAACTGGAAAAACAAAGGAGACAGTTACTTAAATGTTTGTATCGAATTATTTGTTGCTCAGCATCCAGAAGGTGGCAGCACTGAGTTACAAGTCCTTACTGGGCCTTCTAGCGGAAATAGTCACACACTGCCCACGCTGCGACCTCTGTGTATTCCAGGTCTTGATGATTTCCTCAGCAGCATCCAGTGTGCTGTCTTTCTGTAAATTAACGAGATAATTGCAACCATTACATAGGGCAGAAATTCAAGATGAACATTTACAGGCCGTAATAACACTACATGAAGATTTAAATGATCTTAGGTGAAGAAAAATTTTCATGTGCAAAAGGCAAATGCAGAAGCAAAAACAAACAAACAAACATAATCAATTATAGAAACATCAAAGAGTACAGAGGAGCTTAAAGTGAAAAATAAAAGCAATCAGCTCCAGTCCTCCCCATCATCCCCCAATCAATCCCCTCCTCTCCCAAGACCTTTTATGACAATTTCAATCTAAAGAACGCACTTTTGCTTCTACTTCATTTGTGCATTTTGCAAATTAGTCACTGTGCTTTGCTCTGTACAAGGAATATTTAGTTTAACTCTAAACATTAGTCTGCCCTTTCCTATCAAGGCTTCAATTACAGCTACTGAAAAGTGATTCACTTAGTTTTTGAATAGGAACGCACGCCTATGACATAAAGTCAATTAAACTGAGGCGTAAGCGATGAGAACCTGGCCTTGCGTTTTCCTCTTTTGTTTTCTTTTTTTCCTTTCTTTTCCCTGTCAAATGATTCGGAAGGTACTAGGTGTGGCTGAGCGAAGTGTACAGATCCAGGGGCCGAGGCTGCCTGATACAGGGTGCTGCAGTATGACTGAACAAAGGTGGCCAGTGTGGGTGGGTAAGGGTGGTGGAAGAAGCTGGGCGCACTTGTAGTCACAGCTCTCTGGAAGGCTGAGGCAGGA